TTTTTTTTTTTTTTTTTTTGGGAGGGGGAAACTTCTGCCGCATCCATCGCCTCGTGAAAAGGGGCTGTGCATTTGAGTGACCCTATCATTCTGCATGCCCCGCTGAGATGTGCGCCCCACCCAGTCCTCTCTGCAACTATTGTAGCGTGAATGGTTGCACACGAAATGTGATGGGATATTGAGTGCTGGAATTTCCTTCCACAGGAGTGGTTAGAAAAAGGTGTGCCCCCGATGGTCAGTTAAACATGTGTCAATCGTAGAGGGGCACCTTATTATTTTATTATTATTTTTTTTTTTTTGCTTTCCCGCGTGCATAAACGCATAGGACACAAAATTTCATCCCTGTAATGTTAGTGTGTGGCTCATGGGATTGCTCTGTCCAGATGTTTGAGTTGCTACACGCCTCGCATCAAGGTAAAGCCCCCCGAATGGAAAAAAAAAATAATAATAAATATTAAAAAATAATAAATAAATAAATAAATAAAAATGAATAAACGAGTCATTGGAAGTGACCGCGCAGGAGGTTAATCAAATGTGCGCATGTGCTATCTTACAAGGGGAGAAATAAATATGCGAGATGCACATCTCGACTACGTAGAGTGAGCGCAGTGTGGGAAGGCTTCCTCAACGAAGGAGACCCCAAGCCCACTTCTAACCTAAGCCGTATTTATTGCTGCCCACCCCACCCCGTCTAGGATGGCGCATATTTGCGCGAAGGTCTCTTCAATGGACCCATTCCCGTCCACACTGTGATAGACTGTGGGAAAAAGCGAAATGATTTTCTGCTCATTCTGTTCATACAAATGAAACCTCTTTAAAAAGGTAGCCTCGTGATCATCTGCTCTTTTGGTTAACCTAGCGATGACTTCATCACTTATATTTTTAAACGCATCCCCGTGAGAGGATAATACGAGTTCCTCTTCTGGAGTTAAGTGTATCCCTTGCTTTTTTTTTAGCATAATTTCCACCCCCTTGTTATTATAATTTATGTTCGTCACTGGGTCGACCATTCTGTTACTGATTCGGCTCATTAAGTTGTCCTTCTTCACCTGTATGTTAATAAAGCTTGTAACTGGGATATCATTTTTTGCAAATAGCAGTGCCTGTTCGTATGTCCTTGGGAAGCCATTAACTACAATGCCTGCACATGGTTCCTCTCCATTTATATATTTTTCTAAACGGTGCATAAATACTTTTATAACAGTGTCGTCCGATACTAATGACCCATCCTTCATGCACCTTTTTATTCTTTTTATGTCTTCGTTTTTTCTTTCTACTCCCTCAATGGATTCATCATCCTGACTAGGACTTGTTTCCCCTCCTGTCTCTTCATTTTCTAAAACATATTCCTTGAGCAGCGTGCTGATTGTGATAACTTCATATTTGTACTTCTCTTCGATTAGCCTGCACTGGGTATCTTTTCCCGACCCCGCCGCGCCGTTCAGGATGAAAATGTTGGGTCCCTTTTTCTGCTGCGCCATTTGGGGGTAACAGAACGGCGACGTGGGGAAGAAGCACTACAAGGTGACAATGTGTGTACGTGTGCGTGCGTGTCGTTTGGGCTTCTACACTGTATTAATCGTCATGTGAGTTCTATGCGCCGCAAGTAGCACACATTGCTCAAAAGAGGAATGCTTCTGTGTTTTTTTTTTTTTTTTATCCTGCCTTAAATTAGCGCTTCTCCATTTTTATTTTACTTCCGTAAGGGTGGCTTGCGTGATTGTATTCTTTGCATGGAGTGGTTATCCTTTTTTTTTTTTTTTTTTTTTTTTCCACTATTTTCCCGCGCGGTGCATGTATAAAACGGATAGGCCGCCATCCACAGGTGTGCCTTTCGATGTCCCTTCGTTACGCCCTCTCCTCCCCATTTCTGCTTCTTTTTACGGTTTACACTATTCCGCTTTGTAATGTGTGTATCTGGGGAAGGGTCGATCAGCTATTCCCTCCACGCAAGGCCACAAAGGACAGTGTGTAACTTGGGGGGATCATAAGACGCACATGGGGCAGGCAAAAAGGAGTGACACATACGGCTACGACTGTGTTTGAAGACCCAGCAGCGTTTTAAGTGACCCTTTCCGAGAATTGCACCTCATCTCATCGCACGCATCGCAGGAGGTACAACCACTTTATGATTACTCTTTTTTATTTGATTGGTTATGCTCCTGTTTGGAGATTTTTCGCCGATTTAGCTAGCCATTTTTTTTTTTTTTTTTTT